CTACTTCTCAAAATTACAGGGAAAGTAAAACTTGTATATATTATATAAAGGTAATATTGAATAGGGAGAAAGGACTATATTGAAGCATATATCTATAAAAAACCATAGGTGTGACCAGTCAGAATGGCTAAAATTAACAAGTCAGGAAATGACAGATGTTGGCGGGGATGCAGAGAAAGGGGAACCCTCCTACACTGTTGGTGGGAATGCAAGCTGGTGCAGCCACTCTGGAAAACAGTATGGAGGTTCCTCAAAAAGTTGAAAATAGAGCTACCATATGATCCAGCAATTGCAATACTGGGTATTTACCCCAAAGATACAAAAGTAGGGATCCGAAGGGGTACGTGCACCCCGATGTTTATAGCAGCAATGTCCACAATAGCCAAACTGTGGAAAGAGCCAAGATGTCCATTGACAGATGACTGGATAAAGAAGAGGTGGTATATATATACAATGGAATATTATGCAGCCATCAAAAGGAATGAGATCTTGCCATTTGCAACGACGTGGATGGAACTGGAGGGTATTATGTTGAGCAAAATAAGTCAGAGAAAGACATGTATCATATGACCTCACTGATATGAGGAATTCTTAATCGCAGGAAACAAACAGGGTTGCTGGAGTGGGGGGTGGGGTGGGAGGGATGGGGTGACTGGGGGATAGACACTGGGGAGGGTATGTGCTGTGGTGAGCACTGTAAATTGTGCAAGACTGTTGAATCTCAGATCTGTACCTCTGAAACAAATAATGTAATATATGTTAAGAGAAAAAAGAAGAAGAAGAAGAAGGTAGCAGGAGGGGAAGAATGAAGGGGGGGAATCGGAGGGGTAGACGAACCATGAGAGACAATGGACTCTGAAAAACAAACTGAGGGTTCTAGAGGGGAGGGGGGTGGGAGAATGGGTTAGCCTGGTGATGGGTATTGAGGAGGGCACATTCTGCATGGAGCACTGGGTGTTATGCACAAACAATGAATCATGGAACACTACATCTAAAACTAATGATGTAATGCATGGGGATAATATAAGAATAAAAAAATTAAAAAAAAAAACATAGGTGTGAAAAAGTATAAGTTAAAAACCTATGAAGTATGATATATTAAACATCTAGTTGAAATGAGAAAAGGTAAAAAGAAAAAACAGAAGAAGCGTAAGAGAAAGAATAAAAAGTTGTATCTGAAAAATAAGCCACGAGGCAACGACTAGAGCTCAATACACTATTTCCCCCGGTGTTGGGATTTTACAGTTTTATGGGAACCATAGGGTTGTTGTCCTCTCCTCCTTCCAGTTCTTCCAGTCTGTCTCCTGGGGGAGGGGCCTGCGGCACTGTTTCTCAGGTAACCCTGCTTGGGCAGAGTTGCTCTGCCCCCCCACTTCCCAGGGAGGGGGGCTGGGTTCCATGGAAACCGGTGTTTTGAGCTTTTGTTCTCTGGTGACTTTCCACATCTCTTCTGAGGGTCAGAACAAAAATGGCCCCACCCAAACCTCTGTCCCAAAGCAGAGAAATTGCATTCTGTTCTCTTCACTAAACCCTCCAAAACACACAGTCTCCGTTTCTGTAAGCGCCTCTGAAAACCGTCACCTCCCATCGTAGTGCGTGCCCACAGTGACTCTCAGAGGTTGATCCCACGAACCTGCGTGTCCCTGCCCTTTGTGCTTCTAAAACCCCGAGTCCATCCCAGGTTATACACACACCACCCACCCACCCACCCTCCCCACAGCTCCTGGTTCCTGCCTGAGCACTGCTCTTAAAGCCCTTTCCCAGCTGCTACCGCTCTTCCGAGTTATCGCTGGTCCCCCGGGGCAGGACGCTTTTGTGCTCAGGTGTTTTATCACTTTCCAGGTGTCACCTTAGGGCAGCTCCCGCCCCCTTCTGTTTTTCTTCCTATATCTCCCCACAGACTCACGACTCTGCCCTCCCTACCTTGCAACAGGTGGTGTTTTTCTGCTTGTAGAGATCCAGATATATATTCTTACATCTCAGGCTGATTTCGTGGGAGTTCAGAATGGTTTGGTAGATTACCAGCTAAATTCAGGGGACTGGTTGAAATGGGGTACCCTACTCCTCCGCCATCTTGCCTCCCTGTCTTGGATTAAAATCGATGCTGTTTCTTTTTCTCAGAAATAGCTGTGTTCAGTGGTGCCTTCTGAAACCAGCTATTCATTTGATAATCACTTCCAGAATTCTCCTTATCACAGATGCAGACTGTCGGTGGGCACTGGTGACATTTCATCAAAGCTTTTGTACTAACCGCTTTCCGGTTTTATTTTTGCTGGGTCAGAAAGAACCTGTTATTTTTCAAACCATTTTGGCCACAATAGGAAAAAGATTAAACAGAAACCTGACTTTTTAGAAAAAGCTCCAGCTCTGCCACTAACCAGAGCTTTGACATTTAACCTGCCTAGATTGCTCGTCTGAAACATGAGTGCTCAAGTCCTTTCCAGCTCTAATGTTCTAGAAAGCCTCAAATGTTATATATACAAGGAAAGTAGTGCTTCCGCTGCTCACTGTTTCTGTACTGAGTTGTGACATTATAAATACTCTGTAATTTGGGGAACATGGAACTCAAAGGACCTACTTAGCTACCTGTTTAATACTCGCATTAGCACACAATTGAATATTATGGATCTAGATGATATGATAGGTTCAGACCTTGTCACATTAAGAAATGTGTTATTTATATTTACGGCCATTAAAAAACCCAGGTGCCATGCATGCACTTGTCCCAACATGGAGACATTCCTTTTCCAGCTTCTGTCCTAGGTATTACAGACAGCTGGACAGAAATGTCACCAGTAAGAGGACAGGGAGGTCATCCTCTTTAGCACACAGTAGATACTTATAAAATAATTTGGAGAATGTCTAACTGTCCAAAGCTTTCCATGTCAAGTTATACCAGGCTTAGGTAAATGTGTTAAATACATTTTTTTAAAGTTTTCCTTTACCGTGTCCAGAGTAAATGAAGCACTGGCCACACTGACCCAAAGCCCTTTCCAGCAATGGCTGGGGTGTGTGTGGGGGGGTATATTGGTATATTCACCCAGAAAATTAGAGTTTAAGGAATAGGAACACCTACCCCAGTTAAAGCAAGATAATGAAAAAAAAGGTATCACTTTCATAGATAAGCTTTTACAGTCAGGAAAAAAGTATTTTCATTACAACATAACTTTTTTTTTTTAAAGATTTTTTTTATTTATTTGACAGAGAGAAACGCAGAGGGAGGGGGAGAGGGAGAAGCAGGCTTCCCGCCGAGCAGAGAGCCCGATGCGGGGCTCAATTCCAGGACCTTGGGATCATGACCTGAGCCGAAGGCAGACGCTTAACGACTGAGCCACCCAGGCGCCCCACAACATAACTTTTAAATGATGTTTTGAGGGGCTAAGAATGGCCTGCACATGAGAACTAATGAGCATCAGGCCAACGATTAAGTACCATTTAGTGCATTTGGAAAACTTCTACTGTGATTCTACATTTGTTTGATGGAGTTGGATCAAGACATGTTTCCGGGGGGTTGGGGGGAGAAGAAAAAGAAGTAAGAATGGCAGGAAAATGTCTGTGAGTGTTTGGATGGAAACATTAGACATTATAACATCTGTTGTGAAGGTCTGAATAGTTGTATAATACAAATTCTCTAAAGGGTTTACATTTCTGGAGCTTGAGTCAAGCAGCCCTGAGTTTAGATCCATAATATTCAATTGTGTGCTAATGCGAGTATTAAACAGGTAGCTAAGTAGGTCCTTTGAGTTCCATGTTCCCCAAATTACAGAGTATTTATAATGTCACAACTCTGCCCAGAAACAGAGAAGTGGAGAGCCTCATTGACTTCATGTGACATTTCCTGGGAGAATTAATAATACCGATACAGAAAGCCCCTTCTTCCCTTGAGGCCTTGAGAAGGGAATGGAGAGGTGACCTCCTCTAAGTGTTGGCCATGACGAGGCTGGGCAGTGGGTGGCTTTCTAATGTGACTGGCTCTGCTCCCTTACTCCTTCTTCAACGCTGATGCCCAGAGTCTGGGTGGAGGGAAGCTTCCTTTCCAGAATTCAGCCTTTTTCTTGCTTCTTTGTGAGCACTGTCACCTTCCCAGGCACTAAAGCCAGGAGTGATCAATTAGGAGAGTCAACAAGTCTGCAAAATCCAGGCCGGTGACAACTAGCAATTTGTTCATTCACCTCTCTCCTGTGCTGTTGTTTCACATCAGACCTGCCTTTGTCTTATAAACAGAAGACCTGAATCTAACAGCACATTTTATGTCCTGGAGAAATATTTATTCCTCTTTTCTGTGTGCTTCCTCTGCAGTGTTTCCTGGCAAAGGGGAACGTGCTTTTATGTTTTATGGAGCTGATATGATTTATTTTATTCAGACTCCTGGGAACCTAAGAGCACCTCCCTGGGCAGGCTTGGGAGTTCCCATGGTGTGGCCAAATTGATTCCATTCCTTCTCCCAAACAAAAATGATACCAAAAGACAAATGCAAAATCTAGGTACCACAGCCCTGGTGTTGTGTCAGTAAGGTGACAAATGACAGGTGATAACCCAGCACAGTGCTTGGCACACAGCGAGTATTCAGTTAGTGTTCTGAGTGTTTAATACACCCATTCCTAGTGTACCAGTTCTTTCATACGAAGGCAGAAAATGAACCCCTGCTATTATTACAGGGAAACATTTGCCCTGAGCAAGGAAGAACCTTATAGAATGAGAGCTGTATAAAAGTTAAATGATTTGGGAGACAGTGATTTTTCTGTCATTGGTGGTTTTAAGGAACTTGGGATGGCTGCAAGTCAGGGAAATGACGGGGGGTGGGGTGGGGGTTCAAACTGCCTGCTGACTCAGGTTCTGTAATCCTAAAGGCGGGAACTTGCTTAGCCACAGGGAAATCTCAGGTGTTAAAGGCTGTATGGCAGGGTTTGCATTGCCCTGGACCCCCCTCAGGTTATTAAAAGCTCAAGGTTTTATAAAGCCTCCCCACTATAAGTGAAACGGGAAAAGAAGAGAGTGAGAACGTTAGTGAAACAGTTTAATCAGAGCAGTTTTACAATTCTAAAATTAACAAGCAGACTCGTAATAAAAGAGCTCCAATGTTTGCAAAATGATCTTGCTTCCATTCTGAATCTGTCTTTTTATTTGTAAAGGTAAAGCATTACATTTAAAAGGACTCAAAATGGAGTGATTGATAATTATCATCCGTGTTTTTTTCTTTTTGATGCAACTGATGAAATCCCTGAATGGATATTGCTTCAGCTTTGATATTAAAAAACGGACTGACAAGAAGTCCTTAATCAGCAACTGATCACAGGTGGCCAAAAGAAAGAAAAAAAACCCAAAACTACTGTCAAGTTCATAATGTATCACATTGTTGGTGGATGACACTGGCCCCGAGCGTACAGTTAAGCCCACGACACTTTATTACTATGAATATAATTATCATGAACGTTCTCTCACGCTGATCAGCTTGCTTCTGGAGGTTTTCTTTGTTCTTTTAAACTTGCATAATAAACATGCAATGAATTATTTCTTTTGAAAGTATATTTTTTTTGCAGTCTTTTGTTTTCATACAAAGATTTCATAAAGTTGCGTTGTTGCATCAGAGCATTACCAAAATAAGAGCAGGAGCACATGGGGAGGGTAAATGTGAATTTAGCGAATGAGAAGAGCCTCCTCTTGTCCTGAGACAGGCCACCTGTCTTTTTTTTTTTTTTTTTTTAAGGTGCGCACAAACTGCTTTTCTTACCCTCCCCCACCAGAGAAAAGACTAAAGAAAAAAAGCCCACAAAATCAATCTAAGGAAAAAAGAAAAAGATCGACATAAAGAAAATAAAGATGTTTTTTTTCATGCACATATCTTCTGCATAGCTCAACCCACATATAGTAAGGCACTATTTCCCTTCGTAACTGGTGTCCACGGCAATCTCTTAAGTGCTACAGTGCTCTGTGACCATTAGAAAGTTCCTTTCAGGATGGTGAAATAAAGAGGCCGGATGAGTGTGGCTGTCACGCTTTTCTGTGACTGTCCCATAGCTCAAGGGGACTTCCCAGGAGTCTCAGAAGGAAATCGATCTATTGGCATTACGATTGAGAGTATCCGAAACAGTGTTCTTTCCAGAGTTCCTAGTTTGTCTTTGTATGAGTTTAGGTTATTCTTCAGTCTTTATTCTCAAAGAAAATACACAAGGTGGGGGGCGGGGGGGGAAGCACAGTCAGGTCTTCAGAAACAGAGTTCACTGCTCCCAGAAAGCATAGAATGCTGGCAATTCACAAATTCAGCAAGATGTTTCCAAGAGAGCAGAGAGAGAGAGAGAGCAAGGGAGAGACTGAGACAGGCAGAAAGAGTGAATGTGTATGTTTTGGTTTTCAGAGGTGATCTGAGTCTGAGTCTAATTTAGCTGGTCCTCATACTGTTTCCGGAAACAGTCCCCTGCTGGGAAAAATTCCCAGCACCTTTCTTGATACATCTTCCAGACATAAGATTCCTGGAAAAGTAAAGGAAATGTATTAACATCAGGTCTTTCCCCAGAGTCTGTGCATTACCACAAAACAGAAGACAGAAAGAAACACAAATTTGTTGCATGTATATGTCAAATATCTAGGTAACTGTGTAATTACACATAATTTACATGATTGGGAAGCCCATATTCATTTAGAGAGCTCCTAACCATACCAGACCTCACTTAATGCTATTAATAATCAATCTTCATCTGGACCATAATATAATAATGATTAAAAAACCTATTTGTGGTATATGATTTTAAGAGTTCTTTTAAAGAGGGCGCCTGGGTGGCTCAGTTGGTTAAGCGACTGCCTTCGGCTCAGGTCATGATCCTGGAGTCCCTGGATCGAGTCCCGCATCGGGCTCCCTGCTCGGCAGGGAGCCTGCTTCTCCCTCTGACCCTCCCCCCTCTCATGTGCTCTCTGTCTCTCTCATTCTCTCTGTCTCAAATAAATAAATAAAATCTTTAAAAAAAAAAAAAGTTCTTTTAAAGATATTCCTATTAATTGTATCCTTCAAATTCAAGCTGTTAACAACTGGAGGCGGATATCTGCAGAGGCAGAATTTCAAATACTTAAGGAGAACCTTAGACATTTCATACACAATTATTTTTAACTGACCCTAATACTGTGGGTTGAAGTTCATCTGAAATCATCTGCTATCTGATTAAGCAATCAAGGACATTATACTTAGCAAAACCCAAACTCAGCATGTTCAGCTAATACAAGCTTAAAGTTTTTATGTGAACTTACAGTTTTACTTTTTCTACAAAGGGGATCTTTGCACACTCGTCCAGGATAACAGGAATTTATTAAGATACTATGACTAATATCTGAAAGTAATTCCAACCCTTCATGTTTCATGCACACGTATTCCCACCGTGTATGGATTCTCTATCACTTCTTTCAGAAGATGGTGTATGGTCACTGTTTACCTACCTGCCCTGTGTGCTCTGTTTCATCTTTGTTTATGAGATACATCAGAAAAAACCTACAGATACAGAGAGACTAATCAGAGATGGATGGAATGGAAATGTCAGCATACACAGTTACTTCTGATTGGGCTACATGCTAACTCTTCAGACTGTTGGCAGGGCAAAGAAATGGATCAAAACGGCAAGGCAAAAAAAAAATGCCATGGGAAACAAAAACTTAACCTTTTTTAAAAGTATTTTTTTATTGGGCGCCTGGGTGGCTCAGTTGATTAAGCGACTGCCTTCGGCTCAGGTCATGATCCTGGAGTCCCGGGATCGAGTCCCGCATCGGGCTCCCTGCTCAGCAGGGAGTCTGCTTCTCCCTCTGACCCTCCTCCCTCTCCTGCTCTCTGTCTCTCATTCTCTCTCTCTCAAATAAATAAAATCTTAAAAAAAAAAGTATTTTTTTATTCACTCATGGGCTAGGAATCATAATCCCCACTTAGAAAACCAGGGATCAAAAAGTTTAAATAACTTGCCAAATGCCCCACAGCTGTGAATTCTGAAGCCCGCTTTTTTCTTTTGCTACAAAGCTACTCTGCATCTCTTCTGTTTGATATTAAAATTGCGTTAGAAACTAAGAATTATATTTTACCGAACTGCAGTTTGCGCTAGTCGTCAGCAATAGCCACATTTCTATGTGTTTAAAAAAAAAAAAAAATGAACTTTTAACCGTGTTAAAATATAGTGCCTAAAGAGAGAATAGTGCCTCAAGATATCTGTAGGTCCTCAGAAAAGAAAAATGGAGATTCACAGATCTCTAGGAAGCAGCTGGAGTCTTCCTAATTGAAACGGGAAACATGGCCAGGGCTCTCTGAGAGGCTGAGCGTGTATTCCACTTATTCTTTTCCATCTTTCCATTTCATGTTCTAGAAGGTATCGTTCACACGAAGGGCTGCAAGTTCTTATGTGAACCTCCTTTTGGGGACAAGAGAACCACTAACTGTGGGTCTTTCTCTCAAAGCCTGAGCTCGAGCCTATGAAGAAAAGGAAGCTGTATCTCTCTCCTGTTTCTCAAGCTTGCTGAGAAGGGGGCATTGGTGAGACAGGGAGGGGCCGAAGAGTCTGAGACAGGCACACTCACAGGTAATTGGCCAGGTTGTGTTCCTGTAAAGTGTGAGTTTCAAAGCCATGTGGCACCGTGTCGAAGTAATCGTTGCCTATCCCACAGATGAAGCATTTGGTCTAGAAGACAAAGGGAAATACTAAAATGTCAGATTTCAGAAAGCAAAACAAAGGAACGCACAACTCCCCACTTAGGGGCAGCTGTTTGGTTTACTCAGTATTGTAGATGGTCATGAGGGAAGGCTGTGCCAAACGCGTGAATATTAATGTAACTGTTGCCTCAACTGTATCTTGCTGGAGGCTTAAAAGCATACAGCATAATGAGGGCTGTAAAGCGCTGTCTCTTCCTTGTTTTCTCCAGCCTAAATGAGAATGCCCAGACTTAGCGATCACTCTAGTTCATGACGTTGACTGAAGTTATGTAGGCAAGACTCGATGTGTCCTCGACTGAGACCACAAGCTTGGTACCTACCTGAACAAAGTCTGATGACCCAGGGGAGAAAGGTACAGATGACTCCCATTTGGGGAGGGCCAAATCAAATACCAAGCTGTGGGGTATTCAGTCCATGCCTGAGAGGGTCTGCTGTGTGCCAGGCACCGTGCTAGATATAGAATTAATCAATGAACAGGTACTGGGGTAACTTTCTACTGTAGGGATGGGGTGCTGCTCCTTCTGCACCCTGCTTGTTCTCACCGCATCTCTTAGAGCAGCACCTCTTCAGGTCTGCCATCCTCAGGACTGGCACACAAGACCCAGAGAAGCAGGCTTTCTGTTTTATTATTAGAATTTCATAGGTATCAGCTAGAGTGATTTTAATCATTGTGGCCCTCGTGTGGCTCCAGATGCTCATCTTCCTTGCAAATTAGAAACTGTTTAATACCATTGAAGACATGTTTATGATGCCTTAGATTCTAGAGCCTCGACTCGAGATGATTAAAATAATTTATTAAATTCTCTCTGCCTTATTGATCAACAACTGTGGACAGCGATAGGCCATATTCAGCAATGGGTCTTTATAGCACTTGATGTCTTAACGGGCTCATAGGTAACAATTCACTCATGAACCTGCCCCTCGTCTGTGTTACCTCTTGCAGTTACTCTGGGTGTAACTGAGCCACCATCTGTCTGGTAGCTCATGCTGGAAATCTGGGTATCCTCCCTGCTTGCTCAAACCCTTCATCCTCTGCATCTGGCCCATCACCCACTACTCACGCCAACTCCAAAGTACTGCTTGAATCCATCTGGTCCCTACATCTTCGGTGGATTTCTTCAGCAGAAGCCTCGTAATCTCCTGCCGAAAAAATGCTCACAGCCCGCTTCCCTGCCCCTGATCTTGCCAGTTGCTAATATACTCCCCATCTTTTAAACCATAGTTCTCTTTGTAAAATGTAAACCCCCGTCACCCTGCTTAAAACCATTTCTGGTTTTCCATAGCCTCTAAGTTACACTATAATGTTCTCCTTTGAGTTATTAGAAAGGGCTCAACATACTGCTTTGCATTTGTCTGTTTACTTATTTGTCAGTGAATCCATCATCTTGAATGGGTGGTTCTCCTGCTCCTTGAGGGGTAGATGGTGCCATATTAGTGTGCACGCACCCGGAGCCCGCCACAGTTCCCACCTAGCACACTGGTCAGGGGTATGTATTGCCCAGGTCCGAAACAGGCCAAGGCAGTCACATGGTGCTTATGTCCTCCCCTACTTTCTCCTGCATTCATGATTCTTGGATAAAGACAGTAGGGGAAACAAGTGCCCACAGCAACAAAGCTGAGCCAGACACAGACAGACTCACCTCCATGTCTTCTTTGACTTGCTCCTGTTGGTCTCTTAGTTCTCCAAAAGCATCAATAATTAAACCTAGTGTTCAATAAAAACACACTCTAATCTTTATCAACCAGAGAAGAATTATTAAATTCACAGGCCCTTGGCTAATCCTTCCAAGGAAAGGCAAAATGGACAGCCGTGCCGGGAAATGCTCAGAATGTGGTACAGATTGTGAGGACACACCCGACAGTCCTCCTAGGTTGGCAGCATTCTCTCTTTGGGGGCAGGAAGGGGGTTTCACAATGAAGGGACAGAGCAGGAAAAACCCTTCATTACCTTGGCACATACAGAGGGTATGTTTCTCGCTACTTCACTCTGAGAAAGAGCAATTGTGATTTCTGGTTGGAAAGCGCAGAGAACTCCATTAATGAGATTTTCAAGTACCAATTTGGAAATCAAACATTACCATATTAACTGAGGAACGGGCCTCAGATCATTCTTTTCACAAGTTCCTGACAAACTCGCCATCACGTTATTAACTGTGTCAGCCAGGAACTAACCGCCCTGTGCTGTTTTCCCTCAAACCCTTTTCCTTCTCTGACTCACTGGCTGCACCTCTTCCAAGGGATTTACGAGTTTGCTCTCTTATAAAACACATCATTGTTACACGCAATAAAGACATAAAGGGTGGATTATGAATCCTTTAAACGTGTTCATGTACTTTACTGGAAAAAAACAAAAGTACTGTTTTGTGCCCGTAGAACCTAGAGGATTATATCACGTTCATAGACATTTAATTCAAGCCAGGATCAATGGATGAACAGAAAGCGATAACAAGAGTGATTTTTCTGAGGGAGGAAAACCCCACATTCCAAGTGTCCTTGGAGTAAAGGGAAGAACTGGTGGGTCAATATGGTACTCTGGTTTTAAGTGAGGGCTCTGGGTCTAGACACCCTGGGTTTGGATTCCAGCCCTGACACTTCTCAACTGTGCACTTTGGCCAAGTTACTTAGACATATTATGGCTCAGTTTCTTCAGATGTAAATAACACCACCATTCTCACAGGATGCATGAGGGTAAAGTGAATTAAAACATGTGCAGGCACATAGTAGATATCCAAAGATGATAGCCTTAAAATTATTTAGGAGGCGCTAATTATGCATTAGGTACTGTCTGGGTACTCATATATCACTTCTTTAAAAGAAAAAAAAAAAACTTTTCAATAATACTATGGCTTAGAGATTTATATAATTTCGATTTGAAAGACCCAAAGGAGTTACATGGCTCACCCACCCAACATTTTAAGTCAGTAAGTGGCAGGGCAGAGAGTCAAACTGAGGGAAGTGCTCCTTCCATCAGGTTATGGGAAAAGAGTCCCATATCCATCCTCCATACACCCAGGGTCCCATGCTGCTTTGATTTTCCCTCTACAGATTTTGAATGAAGAAATCCTGAAAAGAACAGTTCTATTTGGCTTTTCCAGAAAGCACTTGACATCCTTACCCTACCTTACTGTTAAACAACAGGTGGCTCACGTTCTAGATCCTCTTGCACTTCAGTGAAGACAATGCTTACCTTGTATTATGGCCAAGAGAATGACAATCACGAAGAAGAAGAAGGTGATGTCAAAGATGATTCGATAGATTTCATATTCATCGCCTGCTGGGTCTTCGATTTCATCACCGATACCCCCTCCGGCACGTACCCCAACATACATGTGGAACATATAGCACTGGGAAGGAGAGAAATGGTCACTTCTTGGAGGAACACTGCCTGTTTTCACATCCAGCAAAGCTAAGGTTCTCCCTCTAGTTCCTAATCCTCACTCTGGAAACGGGAATCTTTGCCTTCTACCTTGCCTCTTTTTGTTTCAGTATCTATGATTGTGACGCCAACACTTCTTGGCCTTTACACTCTGCTGCTTTTTAAACAAAACTGCACTGTTACACTCTGCTTAGCACCTTCTGTCACACTTTGCGGAGAATGAAAAATACCTCACTAGAATCTGGCATAAGGTAATCCTATTAAGATCACACTGAAGTCCACAAGACTATGCTTAATCACCCTGTTCATGTTTTTAGCATAACAGACATAGGAAAGAGGAAGTAAAAGCCCAATGTATAATAAGATGGACTCTCAGAAATTAAGTTAGAAAAAAACAGACCCGATAACCCTCACCGGCCCCTCATCTGTCATGTATGGAATATGATGCTGAAATTTTTCTACTCGAACGTGAAGAATAACGAAGACAGGGGAAAGGGAGAAATAACAGCTCATTGTTTAAAGTGTGAAACATTAAAGCAACCAATAATAAGTACAGCTCCAAGTGCCCACTGCAGAAAAGGGAGGGGTTTCTCAGCATCAGCACCGTTGACATTCTGAGCCAACCATTCTTTGTGTGGGGTCTGTCCTGTGCATTGTAGGATATTTTAGAATGATCCCTGGCCTCTACCCACTTAATGCCAATCGCACCCATCCCGAGGATAACCAAAAATGTTTGCAGACATTGCCAAATGTCCCCTGGGGGGCAAAATCACATTTGAGAGCCAGTGGCCGAAAGCATCCATGATTTATCTTTATTCAGGATAAGCTCATACTCTCCATGTTGGCGCCTCAGATTTAGTGACACTTCACCCCTCTCCGATGATCCATCGTGGCTCCCAGACACCACCCTCCATCCTACCCACGCCCCTCAGATAATATTCCGGATTCTAGATCTTGGTTGCACATTCTCCTTATCTTGAAAAATAATTTCATATTCTTATCCCATTCCTTTCATCCCTTCCAACCCTCAGTTAATAATCCTTCCTCCAGGAGACCGTCTTAAACTGTTCCTGACACTCTGTTTTACCCAACTGATGTCACCCACCAGTGCAAGACACATTTACCCACTGTCTGCCATAATGAAGGGGACAGAGGCCTTGCTTGACACTGTGTCTTCTCTTGGGGAGACATCATAATCCCCTCGTTTTCTTCTACATTTCTGGCCATTCCTTCTCAGCCTCATTGGCCACTTCTTCCTCATCTCCCTATCTTTTCATGAACCAGTGCCCTAGCACTGGGTTCTCTGACCTTTCTTCTGTTAGGACACTCCCCAGGGGAATGTGCCAGGTTCATACTTAAGTTCTCATCTCTGTGCTAATTACTTAAAAACATTTCTGTTTATGCCATGGGTCTCCTTCCTGAATTCCAGACCTGTATCTCCAATTTACCTATTTTTGATGCTTTATGATCCCTCTCACTCCACTAGGATTGGCTTCATTACAAGAACAATTTTGGTTACTGCTCTATTATCAGTGCCTAAAAGAATGTCCAGCACGTGATAGGAACTTATAAATCACTTGTGGGATGAACGAGGAGTGAAAGGTCATGACTGTTCAGTGTTCTCATGGAGACTTCACTGCCTTGACCTATAAACCTCAAATTCTCAGATCACTTTAAAAAGCACAAAGTGCAGGCATAGGACCAGCAGCAAGGGGACACCAAAATGCTCATAGTTCAATAGCTAATAGTGATAGATACAGATAAAAAGTTTCTTGGGTCAGAGGCCTGGAATTTAAGGAACAGAATTAAAAAAAGATTGGATCACTCAGAAAGGAAGTTTGTCAGCCTGACACACAATGAATAGTATCACAAGGCAGCTCTGCACTCCCCCTCCACCCCCACCCCCCCAAGAACTGTTCTGGAGCTCAGGTATGGGGTCCTTCTTGCAGAGAGGCCTGGAAAGTCATTCTTTAGAGCCCAATGAAACCAATGGTGCCTAAACCAAACTGTGCATCTGGATCTCCTAGACGCATAAACATTGGGGATTCCTGGTACCTCCTACTGAACCAAACTCTGGAAGTAAAATTTTGAAGACAGTCATTTAAAAAAATATCCCTCAGGACACTGCATTAATTTCCAATAACTGTGTATCTAAAACAGTACTTGAAACCCAGAACAGTGGATCTGTAGGAAGAGGAAATTTTATTTTCACTGTATATTCTTGCATACTGTTAGGATTATTTTTACCGTAAGCATTTATTTTTATTAAGAAAAAGCTCGGGTTGTATGTTTTTCTCCAAATCTGTCTTATGTGCTTAGTCGTGGCCACGGGGAATAGATAATTATTGCAGCTGCCTACTCTTTACTTAGTGAACTAACATAGGCCACCCATTCCTGGCTTCACCATACTTAGCTTTGTTTGTAATCCCCTCTCTGGGCTGGGGACTCAGTGTTGACACTCTGCCTGTCTCTGGTCTGGCACTTCTCCATATCCAATTCTGGCCCTCTGGCTCCCACACTCATACTATACCCATATTGGGCCAACAGTGTATCACTGCCACTCCCCATCCAGGTTCTGGAATGTCCTAGCTCTCCAAGTCCTGCTTCTTTGACATGTAGGGGATGAAGATCATCTAGGTCCTTTTTGCTAAATCTTGCTAACCAAGACTTTGGATTATAATTTGGCTTTCAACATAGAGTTTGTGTTTTCTTGTGGCACAAACTCTTAATGAGTAGGATGTTGGTATTCTGACTCATACATCTGACTCTTAGGAGCCTGGTTAATGTGAGTCTGTCCTCAAGAGAATGATTCACTTTTATTTTCTAGACATGCACAGCTGGAGATAAGACCATGGAATGAGGCTAAATTACCAAAGTAAATGTCTACTATTTACTATTCTCAGATTTTCAGATCTCAGTCATCTAGCCTCTCCCAGCAATATCCCGGTCTCTCTGCTCACTTTCATTCTGTGACAACTCTGATGCCCAAAAAGGGATACCACCATATTTCAATAATAGACTTATGGCCATGCTGAAAAGATAGGTAGTCTTACGGATTTGATTATTTAGGCTTAATAAGATACTACATTTTAAAAGAATAAAATGCATGGTTCACCTGTGGGATTTTGATAGTGATTTTACTAACCTTAACCTTCACAACCTGGTGAAATAGTAGGTAGATGGCTGCTACGGTGGAATATGAGATAGTGTGGTAAACACCTGTGAACATGGGGCCGTCAGGCTTTTAGTTGTTAGGTTATCATTCTGCTTCTGAAAACAGAAAACCTCTCATTTAGCTTCCTTTTCATAAAATCAACTCAAACCTGAACGTCAGAGCTGGAGAATGGAAAGAGTAATTCCAGGAAACAAACAGATGTACTTTGTTCAGAGAATCTGAGTCACGAGGAAGGAAGGTGCCTGGCACTACAAACAACTAGAAATAGTTATTAATTCTCAAGATTTACTATTCTATGGCTTCTGCCCCAGTCACCCATCTCAATGGATTCATTCCAGGGTTAAGCACTGTTTGCAACAGCTTTAGGAAACACGGAGGAGGAGCAGTTTCTGGTGGATTGGTGAAGATCCTTACGAGATCTTTATCCTGACCAAAAAAAGGGGGCGGGAGGAGAAATAGAGATTGAGACAGAGACAGATTACTTGTTGGGAGAGTAAAATAAGTGATTCAGAATAGGGGCACCCGGGTGGCGCAGTTGGTTAAGCGTCCAACTCTTGATTTTGGCTCAGGTCGTGATCTCAGGGTCCTGGGATTGAGCCCTACGTAGGGCTCCCCACTCATTGGGGGATTTGTTTGTCTCCCTCCCCTCGCTCCCCTTGCTCACTGGCATGCTCTCATTCTCTAAATCAATCAATCAAAAAAAAAAAAAGCAATCACCTAAGCTGGTTACTTCCCCAGGAGTGACTAGTTGTCTCAACCACCTGGAAAGTTTGGAAAGGTTTTTTGTTTGTTTGTTTTGTTTTTTCCCAAAAATACACAGGTCTTGACACCTTCCCTGCAGTTTCTGATTCAGGGGATCTGGGGGTGGCCTCACCGACCTGTGGATTCATAAAGAGCTGCCCTGAATCCTCTGTGCATTGGAGGTTGAGAACGACCCATTCTGAGATGAATGTCTTTATTTATGCCAAGTCAGTCTCCCTCGCTATCTAGCTACAATCATCTTTCTGCCCAGGACTTTGGAACTTTGGATCATTTTTCACTTTCTCCTCCTATCTTCTTGGAGAGGAGGTTCAAATTCTCTCAGGATACTGATGGCTTAATTAGATTGTCAGGCTCAAAACACCGTGATCCTAAATAAATAAGTAAGTAGAGAAAGAGAAAGAAAGAAAGAGAAAAGAAAAAGAGGAAGGAAGAGGAGGGGAGGAGGGAAGGGGAGGGAGGGAGGAAGCCAGCCAAGTCTGAAGCATCACCTGGTCTGAAAAACTGCAGCTACAGCGCCACCTGCTGTTAGGTATGAAACACTGGCAGGTGAACCAAGACCCTGTGAAAACCTAAAATGTTCCTACAATACCCTAGGAAACAACCAGAAATAACAAAGGCAGTGGAAGCTCAGCATGATGCCCAGAAAATAGGGCATGAGTTAAGAAAACCTATCTCAAGCAAACAATACTAGGCTTCCCCCTGTGAAGACTAAATGCTAGAGATGATATAAAGGAAGGATTCTCTTTTGAGAAGCACATGAAAGAAATCAAACCTGACCACCTCCTACTCCATCCTTCTGTCTTGCTGGCTGCTTGGTTGTGCTAAGCCATGACTTCTGATGAGCACTACCGTAAGTGATCAGTTGCATTTTACATGTTGTTGGCTTGTTCAAACCTCCCTGCAGGAGTATCAGCAAGAGGCAAATTAAAAGGTGTTTTGAGACCTAACACTGTAAGGGAAATCTAGGTCATGTGGCCTCTGATGCAACAGTTTTTAAGAACCATCAGCTAGACGCGGGCACATGCAAAGCTACGCAGCCCCCCGTGTGGTTGGTCCGCTTGACAGGCCTACACAGTTGTGACAGAGCTGACAGCTGAGATGGTGCTTGTATCTTGGCACTGAGTCTTCTTTTGCAAGAAAAAACTTCTAAGAGGTATCCTGTGTGATGCCCCCAACCTCACCCCAGCCAAAGGCAAGACAGAAAGCTTGTCATTATGCGTAGGAATATAAACACGCACAACAGCGCTGGTTGTAGGTAGTCTCACTGGTAAGAGCAGAAACCCCTTCAACCGAGCAAAATCCAGGCTCAGTCCTGAGCCCATAGTTGAAAATATCAAGAAGCCTTATTTCCTCCTCCTACAGCGAGGCGAATTTGTCTGCCTTCTCCATATATACCCCATGCAGTTGGTGAAGGCAGTTAGTTGTCTTCCTAACCCACCTCTTGTTCAAATCACGCCTGGATTCTTCTCATAATAAGTACGTTGGCAAAATTTACAAAAGCAATGGAAACACATACTGAGAGTGATATTCAAAATGTAGTCATCCAAGGATACCATTAGGATAATTGAACAGGGTCACATCATGATGTTGCAGGGGTCCCATTGTGGTAGGAGATGGGGGGACAAAGGCCCCACTGTTCCTACTCCCTAAGACAGGCCACTCGACACCACTCCCTGAAGTCATCCCGCCTTTCCAGCATTCTTCAGCAATGCATGAGCACCATACCCTCTGAGAATGAATGACCTTTAGTAAACCTTCTGACCTGGGGAGTGTGGACTTTGAGATTTAGAACCACTGGGGAAGGGGTGGGAGGGGGTTCTCCTGGAATAGAAATGAATCTCCCTGGAGTCAATGGAGACAAAAAGGCCTGCTGTTAGTACTTCCTGAGTTTCTTTTGTGCCTTGTCGCTTCCTCCAGCCTTCCGATCCCCTCCCTGCCTCTAGCCACCTGCTACCCCTGGTCTTCAGGGTCATCAGGTAGAGAAGCAAGGTGGATATTTACTTCCTTACTGATTGTAAAGTGTTGCATGTTAATGATTCTGGTGGGTGTTATGCTACCAGTGACCAGTCTCTTACTGTGTAAGTTTATTCTCTCCCTAATCTGTGGTCCTACTCCCTGTAGGAACCCTTGTTAACAGTTTCCTATGTATCCTTCTAGAAACACTGTATCCATATCGTAGCATACCTAGTATGTGCATTCTAGAGTGTGTGTGTATGTGCGCACGTGCGCACAATTAGGATCTTACAGTACTGTTCAAGATCTTGCTTCCCTCCACTTAAATGCAATTCGTATGTCTTTCTATATCAACATGTGCAGATCTGTCTTATTTTTAAATAACTACCTACTTTTCTGTGGTATGGATTTGCGATAATTGACTTAATTGGGACTCTGTTGATAATTGATTATTTCCAATTTGTGATAGCAAGTATCCTTGAACATACAGGAGCATATTTGTAAATAAACATTTAAATCAATACTAGCAGGGGCACTGACAAGGCAAAGGCTAGGTATAATTAAAAATGTGAGAGATCTTGCAAAATATCTCTAAAATCATTGTGTTAATTTCAATTCCCAACAGTATTCATGAAAGTGCCAGTTTTCCCATCAATTTAACAACCGTGGGTATTAAAAAACTTTAATATTTTACAAACCTGATAGGTAAAAAGTGGCAGTTAATTGTTTTGATTTGCATTTCTTTAATTACAGTAGAGGGTAAGCATTTTCCCAATTTATAAGCTGATTGAAGTTTACCACGAGTTGTCTAGACATAGTCTTCATTTTTCTCTTGGCTTATTTCCTAGTGATGTGATAAGGACTCAGTAAATTAAGGACACTGGCCTTTTGTTATAGTGTTGAGTATATTTTTCCCAGTTTCTCATTTGTCTTTAAGATTTTGCTTATAGTTGTTCTTTTTTAAAGTAATTTTTTAAGCTTCCATGCATTTTAGGTTTTATGTCATACTCAGAAATACCTTTTGCCATTTAAAAATTGTTATTATTTCAAAAATCAAATTTTGTTTTTTGCATTAAAATATTTGTTCCATTCAGAATTTATTTTGATTTAAAGAACTAGGCTGGTATCAATTTTTATCTAAATTTCCTCAAAAGCACATCCATAGTACCAATACTATTTATTGAATTCTTTTTCATTCCTGATTTCAAAAGCCAGTTTTATTACATTTTTAATTTCCAAGTGTGTCTGAATGTATTTCTAGACTCTCTATCCTGTCCCATAGATTTATCATTCTCTAGTTCAAAACCTGCCTGAAGTACTAGTTTCATATTAGTTCTCTCTCACTACTCTTTTGGGATGTTTATTTTTTCTAGAGTAATTTTACTATCATTTTGTTAGTCTCTTACCCCACTAACTCCATTTATGTAGGTTATTTGATTTGGTGCTCAATGAAGAATTCATATCCTTTCAGCTAGAGGTACATATTTCCAATCTAGGATCTCATGTCGGATAACTTCTGATATGCCATTTTCAGAGAGGTGGGTTACAGAACAGTGACAGACCAATATGAAAACTTTCACATCCATTGATTTTAAAACCAAGACTAAAAAGATAATTTAAGCCAGGATACTGAATATAAAAGCAAAACTAACAGTTCTATTAAGAGATTTATTTTTGGACTTCAGTGATGTCCGTTAATACCATTACAGTGAACAAGTCACTAAGGCTTCAAAATATTTTCCAAGGAAATAATTTTACCTGCTGTCCTGGAATCTATGAACCAATAAGCTAAAGTGTTGATATTAATCCTTCCAGTTCTAAGTTCTTTATGCAGGAAATCTACTCATTATCAGGTTGGTGCCACAAATGTGCAAAAACGGTAGAAATGGTCCTTTATGTTTCATAAACTGTTGTTTTTTTTTTTTAAAGAGCCACACAACTTTTTGCTGTGTATGCTGTTTTCTCTTCCACATGGCTGAAGAATAACTACACAACCACTCGGTTGAAGAAGCAGGAGAATTTTTTCATTCATATGAGATCAAAGTGAACTTACCGTTAGCATATCATCACATTTCATATCTGGAGTATCACCATCTTCACTTTTATTGTAGAATTTTCGGAAAAAATTGAATGCCACAACCGTATATAGGTATACGACAACAGCTAGTAAGCCAACGGTTAATACAAGCTGGAAAGCAATGTGAATTGAACATGCATTAGAAATGCAAGACATATATGACTGGCATATTTGACATCAGTGTGGGAGGAGAGCTTTCTATGAGCACATAGCTGGATTTATTGACTGGAAAGAAATGGAATCCACAGCTCACTCCATATCTTTCTTACCCCCCAGGGGGCAGGAATTTATTTTCATATTCTCTTTATCAAGTTTTCAGACTATTTCATGCAAAACTTCCCTACTTAATTGGCAAGTAAATGCATACTGCAGCTGGAATAGTAATAAACTCTGATTTACTTTCATGTCCAAATTGATCATGGTATGTCTATGTTGAAAACATGACTTTCACCAAGTTGGTGAAATATATTTCTATTTTTATCACAGGAACTCTAAACACACCAAAATGCATTCTCTTTTCTGTCTACTTCCTCTGACTACAACGAATCCCTATGTTCTGGACTGTGCAGCATACATTAAGTTGTTCAAAAATCACTTTATAATTATCTGGAGAAAACATGTTATCTGAATAGAGGGCTTAATTCACTTCTGTAAATTAAGTACAATGCCACTGTAAATTTCTGCATGTTTTACCTATAAGGACTATGAAGCTCTTTAGATTTCTGCATATGAAAAACTGATAGCTCAAAAAGAAAAGGAATAATCACAACAAAATTTTAGAAGTTAATTGAAAGTAGTGCCAGAACTTTTGTGTGAAAATACACAATAGATTCAGCATCTCCAGTTCTTTAAATATATTAGGAACTCAATACTGTGAACGAATAAGCATAGTACACTTTTTTGCTAATGTCAAATATTCAGAAACTAAAGTGGCATATATAAGAACAATGTGTTGAAATTTAGGAAACTAAAGATCATGATAATTTAACTGAATCATGTGAATTTAACAGTGGGCATGGACTTAAAAATATGCTGGATTATAAAATTCTGGAAAAGGACTCTATTAAGCCAAATAACTGACATAGAATGTGTTATCTCTCCCAGTGGACACTTGATAGAGAATGAATCAATTAATACATGCTTCTACAGTAAGTTTATTAATAATGAAAGTTTTCACATTACAGTTGGGCTCCATTAAAACATAAATTGATTATCTGGAACTAAGCCATTATTACATAAGTACTCTAAGTATGACCCTGTCAAGTATGAAACATTATTTTTTCTGCTCAGTTTAAAAGTGGAGAAAAGAATACCTAGATACCCACTTTTGAAATACTACATTAAATTAAGAATGTGGCATCTTGTGTTTTATTACTATTACAACTAGTGCCTCAGGATGCTACAACACATTTTGGTTCCCTATAGTATCAAATGGAGCAAATATCATATTGGGAAAAATTAACTATTTCCTGGGGGTGTTTCCTATGTGCCGGGGTTTGTGCTAACAACTGCACATTTATGTTTTTATTTAATTTTCCCCAAAACTCTAAAAGGCATGTACTTTTATTGTATTCATTTGACAAAATGAGTAGAGATTTTAAAATGTTAAATAAGTTATCCAAGGTCACTCAGCGAATCGGTCAAGCCAAGACTTGAATGTGGGTTTAGGGAACTCCTCAACTAATAATCCTCATGGTTTATAAAAGAAAAAGTGCAGATCCTCCATTCACAAAAATCTTTACAACTGCATATTGCCATTGGAGGTTGGGTTTATTTGGGTTAGTATATTATTTGTTGGATTTTTTTGGTTTTTGCAGGAGGGAAAAGAGATCAACTTTTACCTGCTTGCCGTTGTGAGTTACTGATGACAAGATGGTTCTTAGCGTCTTGAATCCCATAGCAATGTCAAGAAGATGAGCAGCAAAAAAAAAGTTGTTATAGTGTCCAAGAACGGACATAGTCATATACCAGGCCAGGTAGAGGAAGGACTGAGAAGACAAAACAGGAGGGAAGCATATCAGAAAATAGAATGAGTGACTATTGTCAAAAGCTACTCTGATTTCATTCTACTATAATCACTTCATTTACTCCCTTCTTAGTCTATACCTTTATATCATTCTAATTAGTTACATCAGTTTGTATATTTTATTTTCCTTTAGTTTGTTCTGAGAGGTTCAAAGTTATTCTCTCCTTTATATCAGAGAGGGTGTTCTTGTGAATTTTCCCACAGAGAAAGTTTTATTGACTTCATATTTAATAGCAAGGGATCTCCACCTCAGCACTACTGATAGTTTACACTGGATAATTCTTCATTGTGGGGGACCATCCATGTAGGATGGTTAGTGACAACCCTGGTCTCTACCCACCAGATGCCAGGAGCTCCCTCCTCCCTAGCCTTGGCCACCAAAGATGTCCCCGGACATTGCCTAATGTCACTTGGGGGACAAAACTGCCTCCGCTGGGAGCCCCTGCTCTACAGTCAACCAAAAACCAATCAACTTTCCCTCCCTCTTTTCCCTTCCTCTTTCATTTTTCATTTACTTACTCACTAAATCAGTGTTTGTTGAGACCTACTAGTTACAAGAGATTATATGTAGTGTCTTCTTAACCAAGCATCTCACTTTACGTGAACCAAAACAAGTCGAGGAGAAAATGCAAATACTATTTAATGTCACTGAACGCTGTAATAAACCTAATGATACAATTGGTACTATCTGTAGAAATCTTGATTATAATCAATGTGAGGGATTAACTTCACAGAGGCTAGAAAATGTATATATTTTTGAGGGGAGGGGAATGAATAAAGTAGAAGGAAGATACTGTGATCATGCTTACTTTTTGGATTACAGTCTCTTGGGCAAAAGGCATGTTTTGCCAGTGGGGTCGGGAGCTACGTATTTTGGGGAGGGGTGGAAACCTTCATTTTGACCAGAATATATCTTAGACCTTAGAACAAAAACAAGACAGAGGGGGCTGAGGGAGTACAGAGTTTTTATGGGCAGCTTGGGGCTGAAGTTAGAAATCGGGCTGAAAAAAAGAAAACAGTATTTGAAAACAGACACTGAGATAAGACTGGAGAATGTGCTCAAGAATGACAGTTTGGCTTGAGAGTGAGTTTCTGTTTCAGGAGATGAGAGTCTGGAAATGTACAGCAGGGTTGGAAGGCTTTAAGGCCAAGTGAAGGGATCTGGGCACATCTGTTGGCCCATGAGAGCCCCTGGAGCACTGTATAGAATAATGGTGTATGAAAAGCAGCATCTTATGAACGTGTCTTGAGCACCTACCAAGTGCTGGTCACTGCCCCATATATTTGCACATACAGTGTCTCATTTTATTCTAGCAAGACCCCTGGTAAGTAGGCAGTTTTAGCCCCAGATTTACAAATGAGGAAAGTGAGCTCACTCCGGTCAAGCTCCTTCCTAAAAGAAGGTGTAAGGGGCAGAGCCATTACGGTAGGACACCACTGGCCGACCCCACAGGTGGGTGAGGTTACGAGAGCCACGACTGGCAGCAGAAGTGGCCAGCGCAGAAGGCAGAATCACAGAGGACAGAAAAACAATCCAATTAGGCACATAATTAAATGTATACATTGAAGGAAAAGGAGGAGTCCAAGCTGGTCATGTGAGTTTAGAAGAACAAGATACTGAGAGAAAGAGGCAATGGCAGATAGGGGACTGCTTTTAGTGGGGAGGAGAGGGGAGGATACATTTGTCACGGGACATCTGGATGGACACATCTAGCAGGCTATTAAGAAATGCAAAGGGTGAGGAGAAAGGACAAGTTTGTGTGCATAATATGAGTGAGAGGCCTAATACAGGTGATAAGCTGAGCCAAAGATACAAGTGTAGACTACACAGGGCCTCTGCTTAGACAGCCAGATTTAGCAAATAAAAACACAGGCTGCCCAGTTACAGCAGAACATCAGGTAAAGAAGAACTAACTTTTATTATTATTACTTTTTAAGGTTTTATTTTTAACCGACTGAGCCACCAGGCAACCTCCCCCCTTTTTTTCTAAAGATTTTATTCGTTTATTTAAGAAAGAGCAAGAGAAGATTTTAAGTAATCTCCACACCCAGGGTGGGGCTCAAACCCACAACCCCAAGATCAAGAGTCCTATGCTCCACCAACTGAGCCAGCCAGGTGCCCCAAGAATAAGTAATTATTAGATTAAGTATGTCCCATGCAATATTTGAGATATATTTATTTGTGAATATAAATACACAAGTGTCTACATTTAGTTATCTGAAATTTAAATTTAACTAGGAATCTTGTACTGCATCTGGTAACCCCCACTGTGTTTCAGACAGAAACTGCACTATTGAAGATTGAAGACATATTGAGAGGTGACTGGCCAAACAGAAGCCATGAAACTGCAGGAGGATGAATGATATATCAGAATACTAAAGTCTGAAGAAGTCTGTCCATGCCCCAATTCTCTGGAGGACAAGAAAACTGCATGGCAAGATGAGTATTATGCACGATGCAAGTACTGTGGCATATGAGGAGGTCAAGGAAGATTGACCTTCACAGGCAGAGGCCAAGTCAGTGGGGCTGCTTGAATGGAAAACACTACTGCTGGAGATGAGGTGGTCTTTTGACCCAAGGGAATGCTTCCATTATTAGATGAGAAATTAGTCCATAGGACATCTTATTAACAGTTGACAGTTCCAAAGGATACTTACAAGACTTGCTTATGAGCTCTTTGGAGAGTTCGCTAAGAGACTCAAGAGTTCTGGGTCCATGGTTGGGTGTGGTAGGCATAGGGATAGAGGTGGGAGAATTTGGGAGGTGTCATGTGCCTTTAGGAGAATAGAACTAACGTTCATTATAAAAGTCAGTGCTAATTAGAGTGACATTTTGAGACTAACTGAGATGTCCAAGGGAGAAAGCACAAAAGCAAAAACAGTGGAAGGCCTAGGGCTAAGCCTTTGGGTTTGTTCGTACATTCCCCTTCACAGGTGTGTGAGGATGGTAAGAGGATTATGAGCCAGCAGGAGATGAGCTGAGACCCCACAGCAAAAAATGTATAGTTGATCCATCCAGCAGTTTCATGACTGTCTCCAGCAACTTCCCATAGACAGCAAATGGGAGCATAAAAAAGAGTGATGGTAACAATTTTTTAAACTGAAAATTCTAAAAGTCAAAAATGTACAGCTACTGAGCAAGCCAGGGTCGTAAAATGTGACTGACTGAGCTGACAGCTGGTGGCTTTTAGTACTAGGTGATTTTTTTCCTTATATTTGTACATATGCTTGGGCCCTATGTTTAGTTCATAGGCTCCTAGGCTTTTTGAGAAAAGAAGGATCAATCAAGAACAAATACAATAGTTCCAACATACTTAATTGGGGGAAACTTAAATTTATCACAGTTAATGTTTTTAAATTTTTTTTATTTAGAACTTTCATTTTAACATCTCAAACTTTGAAGTATGCCACTGCCCAACTAAAACCTAAATGAAAATACACATGAATTTGCATCTCAGTTTCAAATTTTTCTCGTATAAATATATTTCATGTTAATCTTTTGGCTATTGAAAGAAATGGAATGAGAGATCGGCTAATTAATCCTGTGTTTCCCTGGGTCATTGTCAAGTAATGATCTGTATTAAATGAATTGATACTTGATTACTTTCTTAAGTAACTGGGATTCATCTGCAGAAGCCCAGCAGACTCATCTAATGTGAGTGTGGTATACTTTGTGGAAATGAAGGAGGGCTTACGTTGTCAGTGAAGACGACTCCTAGTTTCCACATCTGATACTTCACATCGATAGAGTTCAGTCTGGAAAGACAAAGAAGAAGAATTTGTAGATATGCACATGCATCAGAGACTCAGAGGACTGCAAGAGGCTGCCAGCATTGTTTCCAGGGGATGGGACTGACAACCATCTTGGGAAATCGGTTCCTTCCCGGGCGCCAAGGGAGGAGCTGATGGATGATGTGTTCCAGGGTTTTGAGATGCCTTTTCAGAGGGATCTTGGAAAACAAAACAAAACATCACCACCTTCAACCTCTATGATTTAAGAATAGCCCTTCCTTGTTCTACATTACATATAAGGTAAACTCACTTCTTATGTGAGAATGATCCCTGGAAACTCTGCCAAATTAACCAACATGGGTGCATCAAGTGTGCTCACTAGCTTTCATTATACATTGGTAAATGCATTCCAACAAAATAATTTTTACTTACACGAATAAAAACTTGCATAAACAGGCACATTCATTTTACAACTGTACTTAATTTGCCAATGAAAGGCCTTTTTCATCTTGTTTGTGTTTCCTTTTGTTCTCAAAAGCCTTCTCTACCCAAGAAGGGATTCAGTTCTTCCCCTTGGTTCCCAGAGCACCTTGTAGACTTAGACTTACTATGATTTCTCACATTATTGTGTGATCGTGGGTGTGTAGGTATCTATGTATACATTTATGCCTTTCCCCCCTAATCTGTGAGCTCCCTAGCCCACCAAGCACATTATATCATACATGGAATGTCTCAATAAATACATGTTGAGTGAATAAATCTTAGCATAAATATTCATGATCTTTGCAGATTAAATACACGTATATACTTTCTAATTTTTTTTTCAGAACTTGACACTGATTTATACCTTTGTTCACCTTTCCAATATTCCAGGTAACTAATATAACACAATATTAGCATTATTTTCAAAAGGGCTTCTCTAGACTTACTGTTTTAGTCTTTGGTTACTTCTTTAGTCATTTCTTTTAAGAAGGCCAATCTTAAATTATAAATGCTAGGATCAATCATTGCCAATCAAAACTGACTTCTTAGGAGACTCTGCCCCCAAAGTTTTATTGACTTTAGCCCAGGACTTTTTTTTTTTAATATTTGAGAGAGTGAGCAAGAGAGCACACAAGCTGGGAGAGAAGCAGAGGGAGAAGGAGAAGCAGAATCCCCACTGAGCAGGGAGCCTGATGTGGGGTTTGATCCCAGGACCCTGGGATCATGACCTAAGCCGAAGGCAGACACTTAACCGACTGAGCCACCCAGGTGCCCCAGGACTTTTTATTTTAAGGAAATAAAGTTATCTTTGAGCTATAATCAATTTTATTACTAAAGAACACTTTTTAATAAAGATTTTTTAAAATTTTAGAGACAGTGGGGGGAGGGGCAGAGGGAGAGACAGAATCTTGAGCAGACTCCCTGCTGAGTATGGAGCCCTACACAGTGCTCGATCCGATCCCACAACTCTGAGATTATGACCTGAGCCAAAATCAACAGTTTGATGATCAACCAACGGAGCCACCCAGGCACCCCTGCTAAAGAATATTTTTTAAAGTTCCATGAATGTTTACAATGGGTTTCAATATAAAACTATATTAAAGAAAAAGATGGGGAAAAAATGTGGTAAAATGCTCAAGAGCATGATTATTTCCATGAAAGCAATCTAAAAATAACTACTTCTATCAGGATGCTTGAATGTCCTATGGCAGTTTCTTACTTTATTTAAAACACTGTTCTCATTTTTTTTCATTCCTATCAAGGTCTGCTATCAACATCATGAAGAAGCATATCCTTTTCCTAGTGCGGGACACTTTTCTCACCAATCTTGGCAGTACTGATGTTTGGGTGGGGCTGACCCCCAGGGATGGGCCATAGCTGACCTAGGCCAGCCAGGGCACCCATTCATCTCACCACAGTGCTTGGCTCAGGGGGAAACTATAAGCCAGAAGCTGAGGAGTTTTGCTAGATGGTTTTGAGATATGACACAAATGAAATGAAAGGATGTAGGCTGCAGGCAGCCCTTCTATCCCCAGGAGGTAATCTGGCCACCTATTTATTTGATTGACAAGCCCTATATATTTGATTGGCAAATACGTGTGCAAACAGATACATGCATCATGCTTGTATTCAAACGTTCACATTAAGATAATATTAATATACAAACCAGATAATCTTTTAAAGATCTTTCTAAATGTTTTAAATAAACACTACCTGTAACTCTTTCCTAGTTGTAAACATTATTTACTAGATGTGTATTCTTCTAATTTCATTATCCATATTTACAGGTATTAATGCCTGGAAAAAAAAACTAAGAAAAAAATAAAGGTACTAATGCCATATTAATTTCTTGATACTTTGTGAGGAGTCAAACTTGCAAACATTTCCTAGGTGAAATAATGAAAAATTCCCCATTTAAAACTGTTCATAGTGAAAAAAAAAAAAACCCCACAAAAACCAACAAAAAACCAGTCTGAACTTTCCTTCCATTTTTTCAGACTGATGTTCTAGGGTCATAAATATGGCCATGGAAAAGTGCATAATCCAGTAAAACTAGTTGATTCTACATTGTTTGTCAGAGATCTGAAAATGTTAATAGAAAGCTCAGCACCAACCACAGTCCTCGTTTTATATGAAATCCTACCATAAGAGTCTTAGTTCTCAGCACTGTCAATGTGCTTCATTTCTATCCAGCGACACAGTCTTTATGTCCCACATGTATTTTCTTGAAGTACCCAGGTGATATTTTGGATCTAAATTCTTGCAGTTTCTGTCATATGTTTGCTTGTCTAATTTTCAACTGAGTTCATATTATTTAAAAAAAAAAATGTAGCCCTAACAACTTTTCAGATAGATAAAAAATATATGACCAATGAGGTCAGCCAAAATGTTTTTTTTTTTTAATGCTAGCTAAAATATTTATCTGCGACAAAATACTACTACCCTACAGAGCCTCAAATATCTACAGTCATCGCATCCTAGTTGACTGAGACCATAAATACACAAATAAGAAAGGTTGACGTGTTTTAAAGGGAAGGTAACTATTGTGTTTCTTCTAAAATCATTAAATGGCTACAGTAAGAAATTACATTTTTAAAAGCATGTATGCTTTACATTTATTCCAGAATTACAGGTGATCCAATTTGCAAAATATATGTACACTCAACACTACATATGTGTGTGTGTGAAATTCCATCTCAGGCAAATTCAATTCAACTGGTTCACATCCTTCTAGTTACATATTATTCCCTTAAAGCACGGTATTAGGAGTGCCTCATTTTAAAATTAAATTTCCAAGTAACAGCATGACAACATAGTATTTCTGGCATACGAGTCTTTGCTATTTAAATGAAACACATTATAATAAAAGAATATGAACTTTGAACATTTCCAATAAAAGGGCTACACAAATTCCCTTTTCCAAAACATAAGATTAACCTCTTTTCAGGCAGGAAGCATCAGAAAAGAAAGTCAAATATTGTGCTTTTGCATGTGTTTGACTTTGACTTAAGTGGCATTTAGGGATTAGAAAAAGCAAATTAAGAACACAAATCTTTATTTTTGCTTTATGTAAATAACAAAAAGGTCACCTTCCAAAATTATTAGGGAAGAAATCCAATCATTCCATAGCTGAAAATACCCGGAAGTTTAAAGCAGACCTTAGGTACATCTGTTTCCCTCCTCTCTTCCTCAGACATTGAGGGGAAGGAAATCAGTGCAGTAGCAAGTTCAGAGACGTCTGAATTTCTCCTCCTTTCAGTCTAGAGCTATAGGAAAGGGCATAAGCAACACTCACACGGCCGATAGGGAGCTGTCTTTCTTTGGCTTCTTCTTCTCCCGGGCATCGCTGAAGTCCAGAGCGGCTTTGTCCATACCGAGGAGCTCGCTGATTCTGTCCCGGCCATAGAACTCTCCGTACTTATCCATAACCTGGGGGACAGGAATAAAAGCATTTTACCGGCCTCGTGCATTAACTAACCCCCTGTATGCATGTGTATACAAACATCTAATTATTTTTACACTTACTCCATATTTGCCGTATGTTCAAGTTCACTTAAAATTCTTGTTTATGGCTCCTTTTCTGTGATCACACTGCTTAAGGTCAAAGCACGCTTACATCGTTTTAGATAAACCCTCTCAAAGGAACAAGATTTCTTGAGGGAGGCGTGCCAAAGGAAGGGGTTAGGCCAAGTAGATAAGAAGTGGAAGAAGATGGAATGAAAGGAACTTCAACCAAATTCTCATACTTTCTGCCAGGAATTACGGTAAGAACTCTGACCTGCTCTCCCTCATGGGATTGTCACAGTATATCAGTTTCCTGTTACTAGCATCCTCTTCTGCAAATAAAGAAGTTGTGTCTTAGAAAATAGAACATGCTCAAGGTTGCTAAGCTTGGCAAGAGACAGAGTGAGAATGCTACCAGGCGGGGCCTGACTCGCAGCCAAGATCTGCACAGACCACCACGGACCACGGGCGGGCCACTCTTGATGGCATCCCCTCTGGGGTCTCAGTTGCCACCATCCAACACTCCCTCCCATTGTTTCCTGACTGGAGCAGCCCTTCAGGAATCCCCGGAGCCTTGTCACCCTCCTCGTGTCTTCAGTGCAATCCTACCATAGGTTCCGGGGCACCATTCGAATCCCTTCTGAGCAACCCCCCTCAGCGCCCTGGCCCCTCTCTCCCTCGGCCACATGCGCCTGGCTAGGCCCATGTGTCGTGTTTTCAGACCGGTGCATAGACATGGGCCCACAGCTCACCCCTGAGCCCAGGAGGTGCAGCTCTGTGACAGCCACTCTCGGCCCAACGCCGACAGACCACAAAGAGTCCCCCACACAGTGAAAGTGGGGGCAGCAGGAAGAGTAAGGAAAGAAGAGCAGGAGAGAGGACTGGCCGCTGAGGGGAAAGGAGGCAGGGAATGCCAGTGAAAGAGTGGATGAAGAAATAATGGAAAAGAAGGGACTAGCAGAAAAATCAGGGGCGCCTGGGGGGCTCAGTCGGTTAAGGGTCTGACTCTCAGTTTTGGCTCAGGTCGTGATCTCAGGGTCATGGGATCGAGCCCTGTGTGGGGCTCCACACTCAGCGGGGAGTCCACTTGAGATTCTCTCTCTCTCCCTCTGTCCCTCCTCCCACCCCGTTCTCTCGCTCTCTCAATTCCTAAAAAATAAAAATCAGCTTTCTCTAAATGTATATAATCAAGGTAAGTGAAAACATGAAAGAGTAAAGAGTCCGTGAACACTGATTACAAAGGTTCATGAAAACATTTGTTCTGGGTTATTGTCACGGCCCTACAGATGGGCTGGGATGAGCTGAGTGGTTGCTCCCTCTGGATTGTGTTCTCACCTTGTTCCCAAGAGAACAAATCGGGCAACACACACACACAAACACACACATAGTAGGAATGCCACGAATAGTCCTAGCTGCAATTACAATTTATTTATTTGACTGAATATGTAGTTTCCTTCTGAGAAACTTGTGCTTTAACAATTTAAAGCGGTTTCTTCATTAAATAATTAAGGAGACTAAAATGATCAAATTATCTATCTAAAATTATTTAAAAATAAGTTTTCAAAGCTTTGGCCTAGTTTGGATGTGCTCGGAAGCAGAGCAATGTTACTCAAAATGCCAGGTCATACGAGGAGACAAAAAACTTGCACCAAAATAGGGGCGCCTGGGTGGCTCAGTCGTTAAGCGTCTGCCTTCGGCTCAGGTCGTGATCCCAGTGTCCTGGGATCGAGCCCTGCATCGGGCTCCCTGCTCAGCGGGAAGCCTGCTTCTCGCTCTCCCACTCCCCTTGCTTGTGTTCCCTCTCTCGCTCTGTCTCTCTCTGTTGAATAAATAAATAAAATCTTTAAAAAAAAAAAAAAAAACTTGCACCAAAATAAAAATTGACAAACATGCTACTTCTCTCAACTAGAAAGTCTTGTTACTAAGAAAAAAAAAAAAGGTCACTGTGTTTCATCATGTATCTGACTTAGATTCCTGGTGCAAGCCTTCTATCTCCCCTCAGACTGGTAACACAAAATTTGCGGCTGCTTGTTGCGAACCGTCCTAACGCTGAACTGGTGAAATCCAAGGGAACAAGACCACTTCATTTGGCAGGTGTTTCTGCCTATTCGCTCCAGACAGCATCCCCTGGGACTAGAACCCATTATGGAAAAGAGGGTGAGCTGGGTCAGTTTGGCAATTAGAAGGGTTCAAAGAATAAGTAGGAGCTAGTGTATAATCATAGTATTTTATGACATACAAGTAATGGCATATACATTATTTCATTCGAAAATGTGATTAAAATTAAAATTCTATGTGGTGGGAAGAGCAGAGACGATCCTTGACTCTCAAAATCAGACTCAGCAGGTGCCCACAGTGGACCACTGACTCTGTATTGGTGTTCCTTCTACCACCCTCTGAGGGAGTGGGCTTCAGAAGAATAAAACTTGATGAAAATAAAAAGATCTTTAAGGTTTATATAAAGTAAATAAAACTCAATCCTTTGTTGTCATGCAAGGACTTGACTCCTGTAATGTAAAGCAGGATTCTAGCCCTGGTGATTTACAGCTGTCTTATCAGAAAATGGCCATCGGCTAATTTAGGTTACCCAAGCAATCACAGAGAAAATTCTCACTAAGTCCTGTTACTGTGTGGACTGAGCACTGTTTATTCGCCTGAGTCAGAGGATAGGCGGATGAAGCAGTGCTTATTTATTTTATAGCTACAGAGTATGGGTTTTTTTATGTGCAGTTTTTGAAATTCATATTCCATTCCACTGCCACTTTGAAATTGACATTGACAGGGGCGCCTGGGTGGCTCAGTCATTAAGCGTCTGCCTTCAGCTCAGGTCGTGATCCCAGGGTCCTGGGATCGAGCCCTGCGTCGGGCTCCCTGCTCCGCAGGAAACCTGCTTCTCCCTCTCCCACTCCCCCTGCTTGTGTTCCCTCTCTCGCTATGTCTCTGTCAAATAAATAAATAAAATCTTTAAAAAAAAAAAAAAGAAATTGACATTGACAGATAAAGCACACCTGAATATTTCATTCTACATATGAGCCACATCAAATTCAAGTCTTTTTGTGCTCTAGGAAAGAAACAGAGAATGCATTCCTTTTGAGAAATATTACCTTTCTTTTAACAAATTTGTCCCAGTAGTTGTTGGGAAATGACCTAAAAAATATAAAAGCATAAAAGTAAAATAATATCATTTGAAAAAATGATAATCAACAATATATTATTTAGAATACACATTTAAAATAATATGTAAACATACATTCTTCCATTCACAAAAATCATAATGAATTTCTGTCCCATCTTATCCCATAATTTTTTTATATCATAGGTAGATCAAATATTATTTAAAGGTTATGCTATCAATATATACATGCAGAATCACAAAAAGACTATGGGCTACTATTTTAATGGAGAAGAATATGAGCATATTTATTAATAAGCAGTCTTGTTATATTTATTTACATGTCAATATAGGTCATTTATAACATGTCAAATGTATTTTTTTGTCAATTGTGTTCAAAAATTAAAGCATCTAAAAATCTGTCATTGTTTTTCCTACAAAGTAAAAAAATCTCATTCCCACCAGTTATCCTCAAGGAAACTGAGCAAGGCACCAAATCCTCCAGGAAACTGGCACCTTGACTAACACCGAGTTCACTTAAAGGGACAGACTTAATTTGACTTCGTATAAACAGCTAGAGTTGATAAAAAAAACACTGAGCATTTAGAGTAAACATTTATAATGCACAAAGAAACCATCCCTATTTGAAAACTCGCAGCTTATTAGAAATTTTAACTTTGTAAGAATAAGCAAGACTGATGACAATAAAAAGATACTTCACACTTGAGTAGTACAGACCACTCAAAAGCTACTGCATCACTAATCCTTTAGTGGTGGACAGTTACACTTCTGGGATGGATTTATACCTGGAACAGCAGCTAGTAGTTTGGGTCTTGATCTCACAAGTGTAATATTTAGTGTATAGAAAAAGTATTTGTTTCTCTGCCTTAAGTTTTACAGGTCATCCTCCTTAACTAGTTTGATGCCCGACTGCTTGATGGTATCAACAGCAAGTTTATGACTTAGATACAGTAAAAGTATGAAATTCAATGTTTTTGCCTTTAATGCTACAACTCTTTCCTTAATTTTTGCCTCCTCTGTGCTTTTGGAGGAGAGACCCCTGCTCTGTAGGTTATGTACCTCCAGCTACACTCTTCCCTGAACACTGAGTAATGGATGTCACATTCCATCAGTGCTTTGAAAATGGACTCAAAGCCATTTTTGATTAAGGAATTCAGAACGCAGATGGGAAAAAATTGATGGCATCCATTAAGAAGCTGACAGCGTTTAGTCTTTTGATATTCTTGGCTGAAAATATTACTATTATTCACCTCTGCTAAACTTTTGACAAATCTGCAAGAACTCCAGCAAAGTATTTTTTTTTTTTGTCTTGAAATTTTTGAGCATAGACATGTCTCACATAATTCTTTACTCACTGTGTGTTGATTACAAGTCTATCCCACTGGCCTTTAATATCATCTTCTGAAGGCTGTTCTGTAATATAAAGCCCATCAAATTCCAATTTTCGAGCTACTTCCTTTTCTCGCTTAAAAATAACCAATGGGACCTACATTTGAAAAAATAAACACATTAAAATTAGCTTAGATTTACTGGTATCTCTTGTGGTCACTATCTGTACAAAACAGCTTTTTGGAAAAAGAAATATTTCCCATATTACTTCCAAGAAGGTAAAACTGGGTGAAAATGAATTGGTTATATTTAGGCAGAAAGGAACATCTAGAGGTTTAGGAAAAACAGAAATGGAATAGATATCATATATAATCCTATGTTTCTAAACACATACATATTTACAGATATTTGCACTAAAGAAATCACTTTTAAATATTAAAGAGAAAAGGATTCAATATATCTTTTATTACAACCTATTTATTATATATCTTTATATTTATGAGACACGAACAAGCTACAATAAAATATAGCAATGTTACCAATGTTCCAAAATGCATGCTTCTAAAAAGTGCAATTTTATTTGTGAAATCTCTTTAATGATTCCATGCTCAGTGTCCACATGCATTTTGAAATAAATTTTAATTTCAGCATCAGCAAAAATCTTTGTCAGTTTGCCAAAATGTTTCCAGAACATACTGATTCATCTCATCTTCTCATCTGGACAGATTTTACACAAGGCACAGCTAGGAGAAGGATGCAGACGTTTTGGAAGTATTCAAGAATACCTTCCCCTACCCCAACTCATAAAACAAAGGAAAGAAAACGAAGGAGAGGAATTTCTAAAGAAAATTTTACATTCTAGTCTTTTACTCTAGGCTCTGGTTTTTCAAAAGTCTTCTAGAAGTTTCACAATCAGAGGCAGGGGACAGCGAAATAAAGCGTGACCATGAAAAGGTGTCTTGCCAGGAAAAAATAAAGAGGTTTGCAAAAGTAACAGGCAGCCCTGAGCACTCAGAGACTCTTGAGTTCTATTCACCAAATATTATTATTCTCTTGGTAGGGATCTAGGGATAGAGCTGTATTATTTTCTGGGTGAAATGTGACAAACTATAAAGCATTTGTGCCAGCGATGGTGTTAGATAGGTACCTAATAACAGGACAATCAAAACGACTCAGGTTCCGCATGCTGTATTCTGTAACTCTAATATACCAGAGCACTGCTAGGACACATGGCGGGTTACTTCTGCGGGGTTAAGTTTTGGTGAAACTGGCCATTATGTGAATAATTACCAATATGTGACAGAAAGCTATAACAAGATGGCCCAAAGCCATCTGCCCTTCCTGGGACAGCCCGCAGCCAACGTGGAGCTCTGAAGACCAGGTTCCAATGCCCCAGCCCAAGACAACCCTGTAGGGACATCCCAACTCATGGCCTGAGGCCCATGCATGGGCCCTGTCGTGTCTGAAAGGTAGCACCACTTTTCCCTCTGTTGCATTCTGCTTCCTTCCCTTGCCCCACAGGTGTTGACTCATTGAACATTCCCTAATAATCTTCATGCAGGTAATTTGCCCATCTCAGAGTCTGCTTCCCCAGAAGTCCAACCTGCAACAGACACATGCACACACGGACACACACGGGTACCTTGGTGCCTTACTATCTTACTTTCAAGCAGTAGTATCCGATGATGCAGAAGAAAGAAATGACTGTGTGGAGAATAGCTAAGATCCTCAGCGTGGGCTCCATATACCCGCTGCTCTCCTCCAGGACGTAGTGAACTGCGATGATTCTGGGTGAGCCGCTGTCTAGGCTGCTAACTTTGGCATTTTCACTCGAACTGCGAGTGGGGAGCTCCTTTCCTTCAACCACAGAAGAAGTGGAGACCTGATTCAAACCATTTAAAGTAGAGTCAGTCGCTTCCTCTAAGATATCGGCGCAAACAAGAAACCCAGTGGAAACCCAGCCTTATCCGCAAAGAGCCAGAGATGAAGCCCATGTCCCATGAAAAGACTAAAAGCAAAGGCTAAAAATAAAGAGATAGCTTTTCAAAAACCAATGGCAAATAATGAGCATACTCTTTAAAATTCCTTCTAATCCAAGCAAGAGTTATGAGGATTCTAAGGCATGCGGGGGTGGGGGCTGGGGGTGGGGAGAACAGATGGCTAAGCTGCCTTCCCAATTATCCAAAGAATTTAACGTAATAAAGGTATGCCACACCCAGATAGGGTAACAAGTGAGATATTCAGCCAAATTAGGCTAGGGACACTGGGGAAACCCTCCACTGAATCAAATGCCCATCAGCTGAGGCATTTCCCACTTAGTTTGGAAGAACAAATCTACTCCTGTCTTACTAGACCATCAGTGATGTGCTTGACCTCTAGGTTTTCTCTTTCATCAAAACATATTTTAGAATAGGTTTAGACGCGCTCATTAGTGGATCTGTGAAATCTATACATGCAATTCAGTCCATCTGTAGTTTCATACTGGTTATTGAAAGACGAAGACGTACGTACCTTATAAAAGAGCAAGATGAAATTGATTGCAAATGCGACAAATAAGGCTAACATTCTCATGTTGTAAAAGTTGCGAGCAAAATAGTTCTGAAGGTGAAAAAAATGATGAAAAGGTCACTGAATCAAGAGATTGACATGTGCAGACAATTTACATTAAGCATTCCTTCGTTTACCCAAAACTATTTCTCGAGAGCCTACTGTGTATCAAGTAGAATTCTTGGTACTGTAGACATAACAGCAAATAAGAAAATTTGGGCCACCATGGAGGACACAAAGGATAAAGAAGCACATCCGCAGATTAAAGATAAAACGAAACAAAACATAATCTCAAGGGATGCTAACTGCTATGAAGAAAAAGCCATCAGGTTAAGGGCTTAGGGAATGGGGGTGCTATTTTAGATAGGTGGGTCAGGGAAGGCTTATTCTAGGTAATAACATTTGAGCATAGGCCTGAATACCATGGGACAGCAAGGCAAGTGAACAATGGAGGGGAGAGTGTATGAGACAGAGAGAGCATGGGTTATGGGGCACGAAGGTTCTGAGTTCCAAGGGACGGTGTGCTTGGGGACAGTGAGAGAGGACAGGAAAGAGTGGGAGGGAATGAGGTCAGAGAGGTGAGGAGGACATAGGCTTACAGTCTTCTGATAAAAGTTTGTAATGTTCCTTCCAGTGCAATGGGTTGGTTTATGACCTCTGGGGCCACACTGCCCAAGTGTGGAGCCCACCCTCAACACTCACTCACTGCAGATGCAGACAAGCACGCAACCACTCCTGTAGTATCACTTTGATCATCTGTAAAGTGGGCCTAACAACAGAACCTTCCTCAGAGGTTTGCTCTGAGGATAAGTTCAAGGAGGGAAAGTTAGTTATTAATCTTGTTATTATCACTGGAATCATTACTTTATTCCAGGTGGGATGGCAAGCTATTGGGGGATCTGAAGAGGGCTTGATGTGACTGGAAATTATCATTTGGAAAGATTATTCCAGTTGCCCTGTGGGAGACAGATAAGAGGCAAGCATGGAAGGAAGGGGACTGATTAGAGCGACCACCGGAGAGCAGGAGGGGTGATACAGGGGGCGGTGGCCTGGCCTGGGAGGAGCTGTGGAGACAGAAGAACTGAGCAGATTCTGGCTGTACTTGGAAGACAGAACTGGGAAGAATTCCCACTGGATTGGATTTGAGGGAGGAAAGGAAGAGAGGACTCAGATACAGTAACTTCTGGATTTGGGGTCAGAGCAACTCCATAAACGGTTGGTGCCATTTATCGGCTAGAAAAAACATCTAGAGGAGAAGTAGGTCGAAGGTAAAGGCGATGGGAAATATCAAGTACTTGTTTTACTGTGAAATGGGAGAGGTCTATGGGGCATCCAAGAGGATATGCCAGGGGCTTTAGCATGACAGGTCCTATCAAGATGACAACGTATCCCATTATCGGTCTCCATGTACACACCCCATCCGGGTGGTGTCATCTCCCACACAGGACCCTGCCTTTACTGCCATGGCTTATGGACTAAGGCAGCCTACCACAGCCAAACCAGGTCAGTCACATTGGTTCTTCTTGTGGAAGGCCGGAACTGGGTCATGGGAGGCTGAGTTGGTAACCTTGGTTATCTGAGCTGGCAGGTCACAAAGGTTTGGGGGACGAGGGGCCTGTGGTGGCCTGATGTGGCCATGATCAGTCTTGTGTAGGCAAAATGGTGGGCAGAGGAAGGCATATTGGAAAGAGAAGCAGGAAAACAGAAAACACGTGACCCTGAGGCAGACGGTGGAAGACAGACCTCAATGACTTGCTCTGCACGACTGTAGTTAAACGCCGTCTTCAGGAATCCACTGGGGCTTTGGTGGGTTATCGGGGAGCCCGTTCAACCCCACGCCCTACCATCTATGCTGCCCGTCACCATGGCAACTATCACAACACAGCAAATCAGTGATTATCCAGGGGTATCTACAGAACGTTTACGTTCAGGACAGTTGGTACTAAACGATGTGGGGAAAATAAAGAGAGTTGACGAAGACATAGTTGAAGCTACTAATTAAAATAAGTTTGCATAAATTATATAAGAATGTGTAATATTTATTTATACATAAGCAGGTAGAATATATAATTACTGAGGACACTCCATTTCCCTTCTAGGTGAAGGGCTATAGTATACTGAGTTTCTTGTTTTTTGATTTCGCAAAGGCTGTTAAACATTAAATATGATTTTGTCTTTCAAATGGCTTTATTATGAGGAATGTTGGTCTTGGTTTCTAGGTCGGACATTACTGGTTAGCATCTCTTGTAGGTTTACTCTGCACACTCATCGCCCAACATTTTCCTGCTTTAAGATAAAGTGTATACATTATAATAAAAGGCCTTTCAACCAAAATTTTTATGAATTCCATCTTGTATGAATATGAACAGAGAACTACACCTCCTTTCTTGGTTTTCAAATACGAATATGTATTTTATTCATTTGGAGAGCACTTCTGCAAAATATATAGGACACTACATAAAGAACTGTCTTCTCTCTTTTCATTCCCTTCTTTTCTTTGTTTCTATTTAAAGAATAATTTTGAATAGACCTTCTTCTTATCAATAGGAAGTCGGCTCACTACATTAATGTTTATGTAACTGGGCTTTTAATAAAAAGGTGATGTTCTAGAACTGATGAACCCAGTTCTGGAACATCAATATGAATTACTTGTACCCTCAATGTCATGTTTTGCTTTCATTCACCGCAGACCCTCACACAGTGTGTCCTGCAGAGTATATTTATTAACCTGCCCTAAAGCCTTTGTGGGAACACACTGGTTGCCCTGTGTTGGCAGTCACTGTATCAGATGGTTTCAGGTAATGTGGATGCGTGTGGAGGTTATGGTTTGATGACAGGGAACAGCGGACCAAAGGCATTTATTATAAAATATGAACACACTCAGGTGAGTAAATAAAACATACTTGTAGGACTGACTTGATCCCCTGATTGCCACCCAAGGAAAGGTCAACGAGTATTTACTAGGCCTGAGTTGTTATGGTCTCACAATATATCAATAACAATATTCACTCTAGAACATCTTACTAGAAGTTTCTGTTGATATGCTATGATTTTCTTCCAGAACGCAGACTCGGGAATTTCCGGCTCTCCGTATCTGTGTGTGTGGAGCTGTCTCAACTTCTGTTTACCCTTATCTTCTTTGGCTTTTTCTTCTTTTTCCCCGTCTTCTCCCCTGCAAACACAAATGACTGAAATATCAGCCATCCAGAAACTAAAGAGGTGAACAGGTTTGTGCCAAATTAGACACACAAACAAATATTTAAATCAGAGCATCCTTGTTAAAAAGTAGTTCCTCTTTCAGTGCATTATCATATTCAGATTTTTAGAATGAGGGCTAAGATTTCCTGCCTCTCATTGCCTCCCGTAGATGGACAATCCTGTGAAGGTCGAATCTAAAGGACATTTTACAGGGGAGGGGGGAAAGATGGCGGAGGTGTAGGGGACCCTATTTCATCTGGTCCCCAGAATTGAGCTGGATATCCACCAGACCACTCTGAGCACCCACGAAACCAGCCTGAGATGTAAGAAGATCTGGATCTCTACAAACAGAACATCGCAGGCGGTTGGTTTTGAGGTACAAAACAGGGAGCCGTGATTCCGTGAGCAGATGTCAGAGGACAAACGGCAGCGGGAGGGTGCCTGGCCGTGGGGATCCTACACCGCCGG